TCACCTTCTCTGATGATGACCTCCCAGAGGGCCCGCTACCCCATCGTGACGCCCTGGTGATTGAGATGGACGTCAACGATGTCATTGTCCGCCGCATCTTAGTCGACACGGAAAGCTCAGTCAATGTGATGTATTACGATGCCTTCACCAAGTTAGGGATACCTAGGAACCAGCTCAAAGAAGTACGTACCCTACTCTCTGGATTTACGGGTGATTCAGTGGAGACGGAGGGGTCGGTGGCCTTACCAGTGGAGATAGGCACGAGCCCTAACATTCGCAAACTTGACATGGAATTCATCGTGGTAAGACTCACTTGTGCGCACAACATCATTTTGGGGAGGCCGGCACTGGAGGACCTCAAGGCCATAGTCTCGGTGGAACACTTGTGTATGAAGTTCCCTACTCCGAATGGGATAGGGATCGTCAGAGGAAACCAGCGAGCAGCCCGCAGTTGTTACGTAAAAGCATGCAAAAAGATTGGCGGAAAGAATCCACAAGTCCACACCATTTGCAAGGATGATCGATCGGGTACGGAACTCAGAAAATTTAATTAGATATTATCAGTAATACATTGTAGTCGTGGCCCGCCCAGACCTGTAAACAGTATTTAGTAATCATGGTCCGCCCAGGTTACTTCACTCTCAAATAAAAAGGTTTTCAAACACACATTCGATCAACCACGACCGTCACTACACTCTAAAAAAAAAAAAAAAAAAAAAAAAAAAAAAGTCGAGGCGCGGTGCCTTGATAAAAAAAAAATAAATAAATAAATAAATAAAAGGAGGCCGGGCAGCGTCTCAGCCACTCCTGGTCGAGGCGACGCCTCAGCCACTAAAAAAAATTAAAAAAAAAAAAAAAAAAAAAAAAAGGTCGAGGCGATGCCTCAGCCACATGACCGGGGCGCACGCCACGACCAGATGGCCGGGGCGCAGGCGACGCCTCAGCCACTCGAAAAAAAAAAGGTCGAGGCGCACGCCTCGGCCAAGTGGCCGAGGCGACGCCTCAGCCACATGGCCGGGGCACACGCCTCGGCCAGATGGCTGAGGTCGCGCCTCAGCCCAAGGCCGAGGCGCACGCCTCGACTTCCTGGTCGAGGCGACGCCTCGGCCACTCAAAAAAAAAAAAAAAAAAAAAAAAAAAGGTCGAGGCGCACGCCTCGGCCACTTGGCCGAGGCGACGCCACAGCCATATGGCCGGGGCACACGCCTCGGCCAGATGGCTGAGGCCGCTCCTCAGCCCAAGGCCGAGGCGCCCGCCTCGGCCTCCTGGTCGAGGCGACGCCTTGACCACTCAAAAAAAAAAAAAAAAAAGGGTAGAGGCGCACGCCTCGGTGCGCCTCGGCCAAGTGGCCAAGGCGACGCCTCAGACACATGGCCGGGGCACACGCCTCGGCCAGATGGCTGAGGCCGCGCCTCCGCCCAAGGCCGAGGCGCACGCCTCGGCCACTCAAAAAAAAAAAAAAAAAGGGTCGAGGCGCACGCCACGGCCAAGTGGCCGGGGCGCACGCCTCGGCAAAGTGCGCCTCTCGGCCGTGGCCGAAGCGCAGTGCCTCGGCCACATGCGCCTCGGCCAAGTGTGCCTCTCGGCCGTGGCCGAAGCGCAGTGCCTCGGCCACAAGGCGAGGCACCCGCCTCAGCCAGGCTGAGGCGGCGCCCCAACCCAAAGCCGGCCCACGCCGCAAAAAAAAAAAAAAAAAAAAAAAAGGGTAATGTTAAACCGCAGAAACCGACGGATGGTGACAAGAGCTGATAGAAAGGTGCTCAAATTACCCAGGCAGGAAGGGATCTGGAAAACAAAATCGCATATCCTAACTCACAGGATGACACAGTATCACGATTGATTCAGCCTTACTCCCAAGTCAACTCAAACACATTCGTAGACTCAGGAGTAGGGGGGACTGGTGACAGGATAATAGGGCTGGCACCCGACCCGGATCATAAGTGTGCATCTGACCCGGCACCATATTTGACCCGACACCGCATGGATGCTCCAACGGTTAGAATTCCAACAGGTGTCACATTTATTGTCATTGAAGCCACTATTGATGCCACCATTGATGAGAGAGAGTTAAAGCCTCAACGCCTCATTCATGACTCTTCATATTCTTGCCGTTAGCTCAGCTCCCCAAGGATGTCTCTTCATGTTGTTACCGTTAGGACCTAGCATAAATAGAACTTCCCTCAGCTGAGCAGGACACACTGTACTTTCGATACTGAGACAAAAGCAATACAACTATTGTTACTCTCTTATAGCGTTGTTATATTATTATTACCGGTAACGTTATTACCGTCACCGTGAAAAAACGGACCGGCCTGTCCTGTCCCGTTTTCGGATGATGAGTATTTTCCATTGTTTTTTGCCTTTACTTTTAATTTGTGAACATATGTGAGTTTTGGGATGAAGATGAATTGGTTTCTTTCTCAGAGTTCAGGGATAATTTTGGCCATTTAGCTGAAATGGAATCAGCTAATGTAGAAACGCTGCTCCAAGTAGCGTTTAGAAAATTAGCTTATTGGCCCTAGCAGCTATCCCAACCAGCTCTTCTACCAAACACTAATCAGCCAAAATTAGTCAAATTAGCTGGAAAATGGCTGATCAGCTGATAACCAAACACCCCATTCTAAGCAGGAGAACGGACTATGTGAGTGAAAATTTACTTTCTGATAGGTTATTATCTTCATGTGGGCCCTTTGTGAAAGTGTCTACATCAATATTTTAAGTATGAAAGTAAAAATAAGGAGAATAAATAAGGAGGAGAAGGAGAAGTAAAATTTTACTTTCTGATAAGTTATTATCTTCATGTGTGTCCTTTGTGAAAGTGTCTACATTAATATTTTAAGTATAAAAGTAAAAATAAGGAGAATAAATAAGGAAGAGAGAAGAATGAGAAGGAGAAGAAGGAGAAGGAATGAATCTTGTTCAAAGCAATCATTTTATTTGTAAACAGAAAACATAAACCATAATAATAATAATAATAATAATAATAATAATAATAATAATAATGAGAAGAGCGAGTACTATATGTTATCGGTCCAATGAGTATTGAAAAAAATAACAATTTTAGTCTATATGTTTAATTTCTACTAATTTTCATTCACGACTATTACTTTAGTATCAACTTTTATTCACGATTATTGTTTTAGTGTCAAAATTAATCACGTCGGTCACCCCTCCGTTTAAGACATGCCGAAATCTAAAAACTTTAAGAGTATTTTCATCTTTTTCAACTTAAGATCTCAATTTGAGCATGAATAAAGAGATTTAAGTGCTAAGATCTATCACAATTTACAATTTTCCTTCTCATCCTATCTTAATTTGGGGAGAAGAACTGCGAATTGGGATCGATCATTGGGCTTAAATTTATTTATCCATGCTCAAATTGAGATCTTAATTTGAAAAAAACGAATGTTATAATTATGTTCACAACTCTATGTTTATAATTATAAAACTATATGTAATAATTTTTGAATTATATATTCATAATTATTAACAGTTTTAAAATCGTGTCTAACTTATAAGGTGGACACAACTCCACAGTATAATTTATCTTAAATAAACTTGCCAAACAGAGCTATATATTATGTATCAATATTGGATAAAAACGAGAACAAGGGCGCTACAAATTGATCCACTTTGCTAAATAGCTTCTGCAGGGCAATTTATATCGTGCACCACGACGCATAAAATGCGCGCATTTCATGTTGTCTTCGTGTTGATGTCACTCCGTCCATCCGAACAGCCCAAATCTCATTATGTGTATTCAGTTAAAATTTTATGTGTATTGTGTTATGAGTTTATGTGTATTCCGTTAAGAGTTTATGTGTATTATGTTAACCAAACTCAATATGTGTATTTAGTTAAAAGTTTATGTGTATTATGTATTATGTTAGATTATGTGTATTCTGTTATGAGTTTATGTGCATTCGAAACAATTTTTTTTTTTTAACAACTTAACAAAACGACGTTGTTTTGAATGCGCAGGCGAACAGTATAACAATTGCTTTCTGCAGAGTATATGTTTAGTTTGGGCCTAATTGGGCCAGATACCATCTATAGATTGGACGCCAATATGCAGACGTAGGCAAATTATGCCCTGGACCCGTGTCCACATTGAATTGTGGACACGGGCCCAAAACGACGTCGTTTTTAAAAAAAAACGCGTCATTTAGTTAAAAAAAAAAAAAATATTCGCGCGCGTTTTGCCGTTAACGGCGTTATTTTTTTTTTTTGGATTATGAATGTACAGTTATGCCGTTATGAATATACAGTTATGCCATTATGAATATACAGTTATGCAATTATAAAATTATGAACACAGAGCTCTAACATTATAAACTTACAATTATGAACATATATAGTGATAAAATTATGACCATGGAGCTTTAAAATTGTGAATATAGAGCTTCGAAGATTATGAATGTACAGTTATGGAGTTATGAATGTACAGTTATAGAGTTATGAATCTACAGTTATGGAGTTATGAATCTACAGTTATGAGATTATGAATCTACAGTATGGAATTATGAATGTACAGTTATTGATCAAATTATGAACAAAGAGCTCTAACATTATGAACTTACAATTATGAACATATAGTGATAAAATTATGAACATAGAGCTCTAAAATTGTGAACATAGAGCTTCGAAAATTATGAATGTACAATTATGGAGTTATGAATGTACAGTTATGGAGTTATGAATGTACATTTATGGAGTTATGAATGTACAGTTATAGAGTTATGAACGTACAGTTATGGAGTTATGAATGTATAGTTATTAACATATAGTAATAAAATTATGAACATATACTCTTACAATGAAGCGGTCTGAAATTAAAAAAAAAAAAAAAAAAAAAAAAAAAAAAAAAAAAAAAAAAAAGGAGATAACAGTGCCTAACGGCACTGTTACCCGTGTCCAGCAAGCATGCTGGACACGGGTCCAACGCATAACGATTGGCAGATGTAGGGTTGGGTTTTCGTCTCGAGAGAAACGCGCTCAAAATGGAAGGAGTGGTAGTAGCCAACACCCAGAACCAGCCGGAAGACAACAAGGTTCGCACCGATGTATTGCTCTTCAACCGCTGGAGTTACGACCACATTCAGCTGGTAGACTACCACAGATTGAGAAAGTATATCGAACAGATATTACGTAATAGAGTCGATAGTACTGGTGGAACTGGATTTTTCTACTTGGTCATGCAATTATTGGTTTGAATGTTTGCAATTACAGAAATGGTGGGTTTGGGCTAGACTGGAAGTCCAAAAAGATCAAAAGATTTTTATTTTGTCTTGTCATTGTTTGGTTTAATGGAGGATATGACAATCATTATTGTGTGGACCATGGTTCACACAAGTTGTGTGGATCATATTTTGTCTTCTGTAAAATAATGTACATTTAGTACAAAAGTAATGTACATTTAGTACAAAGATAATGTACATTGTATACAGGGGATGTACATTATTTTTGTTCTGAGTGTACATTATATTGTATAATGTACATTCAGTACAAAAATAATGTACATTTAGTACATTAAAAATGTACTTTTTGTTATAGTCCACATAACATTGTGTGGACCATGGTCCATACAATAATTTGCCAGGATATGAAGGGCCTTTCAAGCAAAGCGTGTAGAAGTAGTAATTTAGTGTTGGCCTTTTGAAACTCCATTGGAGATAGAGTTTCTGCCAAAGAAACTTTGAAGTGCATTTGGAGCAATAAATATAACTGGATTTTGGTTCATTTTCATGCCAGGCATATAACTCCATTTGTTAGATTTAAGGATTGTGTCAGTTTGGTCCATTAGGAAATTTATGGTCCATTTGTTATATCACTCCATTCGTTTTTGTTCTTGGTTTTCTTTATCCTATCCTAGTATGTTACCTTTTTTGCTATGTCATGATGTTATCATCTTGTGTGAAGTTCAGGATGATTTATTGATCAAATAAGCAATAATGGTGTTATTGATTGCCTTGCCTGCCCATTTTATATCAGACTTCCATGCTTTTTTTTGTGGACCCAAACCTGTCTTATTACATTTTCTGCTGGTTGAAGTTCTGTATGTAAAACCTTTATTATTATGTTGATGCAGTGGACCAAGAGAAGATGCGACCCGTATTGGTTCTGCTGGTGTTGTCAGGCACCAGGCTGTTGATATTTCGCCTCTTCGCCGTGTGAACCAGGCAATCTATCTCCTCACAAGCGGTGCCCGTCAGAGTGCTTTCAGGAACATCAAGACCATTGCTGAATGCCTTGCTGACGAGCTCATTAATGCTGCCAAGGGCTCTTCCAACAGGTAAATTCTTATCCATATTTGGCTCTTGTCCTCCACTTTTCCTATTGGAGTTAATACCAGTTGGGTTGGTGTCACGTTTAGTCTTAAACTTTCAATTTAATCATTTATTGTTCTTCAACTTTTAAATTTTTAACCAGCTCGGAGGATCATTTGTGGTTAAATTGAAAGTTTAGGTCTAAACGTGGCAGTGCTACTATACTCGGAGGACTCCAGTTGGTATTAACTCTTTACTATTATATAGAGTTAATACCCAAAATCGTCCTCGACTGTTGTGGTTTTTCTCAATTTCGTCCTAAACGACTTTGGTGATCTAATATCGTCCCAGACTTTTGTGTTTCGCTCAATTTAGTCCTCCATTTGTTATTCTGTTAAATTGGTGTTAAATTAAGGGACAATTCAGTAATGTCAATATTGATCTCTATTTACTTTCAACTTGTGAAGTGCGAAATTCCTCTTTCTTGTGCGAATTACACCCAGAATTACTCCCGGACCTGCAAATCAAATTTTATATTTGCAGTTTTAGGAGTAATTCGTAAAAAAAAAAAAGGGATTTCTCAGTTCACATGCCTATGAGTAAAGAGATGCCAATATTAAAATTACTGAATTGTCTATTTATTTAACACCAAATGGACAGAATAACAAATGAGAGACTAAATTGAGCAAAAACACAAAAGTCTAGGACTAAATTGAGCGAAACACAAAAGTCTGAGACGATATTAGGTCACCAAAGTCGTTTAGGACAAAATTGAGAAAAATTACTATAGTCGATGACGATTTTGGGTATTAACTCCTATTATATATGCAATTGTTATCTGATGATTTTGCTGGCTTGTGCACTGCAGTTATGCTATCAAAAAGAAGGATGAGATTGAGAGAGTTGCAAAGGCCAACCGATAAACGAGAGTACTCAAGCAGATTCCATGCTTTTTGTGTGTTTTAGATTGTTTTAAATTCAACAAATTTTGTTCTTTCTGTTATTGCTAGCCAGCATTAAGGGGTAAATGGATGGTTATTTTTAACCATTTTTTGGGGGGTATTTTTTGTGGCTACCGATCACATAGACATACAGTGATAAAATTCATTTAAATCAATGTTGTGTTGCTTAATTGTATATAAAATGCTCGCACTTTTATCTATATCTATATCTATCTATATCTATATCTATATATCTATATCTATATCTATATCTATATCTATCTATATCTATATCTATATATATAAAAGTAAAATCCTCCTAGCCAAGTTTTCCCTCCAAAACTTAGAGGCATTTTTGTAATATCAAATATTTAGACAAATATGGCATTTTAATAATATTAAAGATTTTACCTTTCTTTCTTGAGATCTCTTACCATTTTATAATTTCAATACTAAACCCTTTTGACCTCATCCATTGTGTATAAATACACCTTATATGACCATACACAACCCCAACTAAGGTTAATTATTTTATTGATTTTTGCTAATCATCCTGTGATCTTCCACAGTTGAGGTTGATATGTGATTTGCACTGGTGAGGTTTTCATTATCTTAGTTTCTTTAATTTTTTCTTCTTTTTGGGTTTTATTTTGTTTTTATTCTTTTGTATTTTTTGATTTTTAAACAACAAAAGTGGTTCGTAAGAAAAAATGTTGATATATTCTTTTTTTTTTTGTCTATTTTTGTAGAGAAGATACAGATCTAGAAAGATTGATCGGGAAGCAATAGACTTCTAATCATCCTGTGATCTTCCACAGTTGAGGTTGATACGTGATTTGCACTGGTGAGGTTTTCATTATCTTAGTTTCTTTTATTTTTTCTTCTTTTTGGGTTTTGTTTTGTTTTTATTTTTTTTGTATTTTTTGATTTTTAAACAACAAAAGTGGTTCGTAAGAAAAAATGTTGATATATTCTTTTTTTTTTTGGTCTATTTTTGTGGAGAAGATACTATACGGATCTAGAAAGATTGACCGGGAAGCAATAGACTTCTAATCATCATGTGATCTTCCATAGTTGAGGTTGATACGTGATTTACATTGGTGATGTTTTCATCATCTTAGTTTCTTTTATTTTTTCTTCTTTTTGGGTTTTGTTTTGTTTTTATTTTTTTGTATTTTATGGTTTTTAAACAACAAAAGTGGTTCATAAGAAAAAATGTTGATATATATATATTTTTTTGTCTTTTTTTTTTTTTTTTTTTTTTTTTTTTTTTTTTTGTGGAGAAGATACAGATCTAGAAAGATTGATCGGGAAGCAAAAGAGTTCCTTGCTCATCAAGATGATAAAGTTTTGTGATCGAGGGACGAATTATGTGTATATGTAAATATATATAGACTTATAGAGGGAACCATACAAAGAATACAATAAAAACCAAAATGAAATTAAAAACATTTTTTAGTTGTCAATATATCAAAGCATTGGAATTTGTTTCGATTCAATTTCTCCGTTTTTAAAGTGTACATTTTTTGTAATAAGAGAGTAATTTGTCTTTCCCTTCAAGACGTTTTTCTTGCCATTTAATTTTTTTTTTTTTTAGGAAAAAAATGATTAAGTACTGTGACTTTTTTCCAATAGAGTATTATTTTGATTTTATTCTTCATCTGACATTCCTTGATATAAAATCACTTTACTAATGTAAAATAATGTTATTGACTTACCATGTTTGCTTCGATATGCTAAGCCATTTAAAATTTAATACGGAGTAAAATTATAATTGTAATACTTCCGTAATAATATTGAATAAATATTAATCATATGTTTAGATTTAATAATATATTATATTAAAAGAATTATTTATTAATTTAATATAGTGATGGTTAATACGGGTAAACCATATATAAGCAATATTTTACCTTAAGAATATTATATCTTAATTATAAAAATTCTACCTAATAATTTTAGTATTAAAAGTCATACAATAATTACCATAAACAATGTTTAATAATTGTCAAATTCTATTATGCAATAAAAATTACTATTATAAAATTTTTTGTAATATGGACACATTATTTTTAATTATTTCGATTTAATAATATTATATCTTATGTATAAAAATTCAAATAATACTTTTAGTACTATTGAATATTGATTGACTAACAATTATTTTAATTATTAAGGCAATTAATGGATATTTTGATTTAAAAAGTTTTCAAATATATGAATTATACATAGTAGCATTGAATCAATTAGTAAGACAATTATATTAGGTAATCTAATAAATAACTTACTTTTTAAATTATATCTCATCTTTAATCTTTAATAATGAATATTTTCTTAAAGTATATACATAGACTATGGTTATCAATATAAAATTATATATATATATATATATATATATATATATATATATATATATATATATATATATATAATGGATAATATTATTAGTACAAAATAAGTTATACTTACCTTAATAATTAATTATTAATATTATTACCTAATAATTATATATTGTTACCTTTTTCGGTGTAATTATTATGGTAATTTATATACATATATATTTTTATACTTAATGTATAATATATTGGCATGAAAAAAATTATACTTATCTTAATATATAATTAATTTTTAATATAATTTCCTTATTTTTATTAAAGATAATTATTTTGATAATTTTTCTTTCATTATTTTGTGTGATTATTATGGTAATGTATTTAAATTTCGGAAGAGATTATTACAAATATTATAATTAATATAAGTAATATAATTAATGAAATTATTATGGTAATTGTCACAATATTTGGTAATTATAATTAATATAATTAAAGAAATTGAGAAATATAAGATTTCTTCCCTATAAATATTTGTGACAATTTAGTTAAATTACAATTAATAAAATATGAAATATAATTAAAGAAATGAAATTATTAAATTAACAAAACATGAATATTTCTAATCATACATACACTTATGCACTATAATAATCATGCAAAATTTAAATGCAACTTTTTAAATTTTTAAATGTAACTTTTTAATTATAAATCTATCAATATAAATTATGATTAATGAAATTATATTATAGAATTTTCCTATTTTCATTTTAATAAATATTATGTGTATATAAAATGAATTATACAATCATATAAGGAAATGCGTCGGATTAGAGTTTAAATTTATTCATACAAATTTTAGAATTTACATTTTTTTATAAAAATAATCAAATGTTAATGTTAATAATAATAAGAAGAATTTTAAAATCAGAATTATAAATTAAGTATTAGGGTAATAATTAATCTATATATATTATATATTATATATTATTATTATTATTATTATTATTATTATTATTATTATATAAAAACAAAATCATCCATTTTCAAAAAAAAAAACAACAAAATCATCCAATTTCATTTTCCCGCCCAAACTTTTGTAGTAAAGCTTATTTGGTAAGTAAATGTCTAATGGAAATTAAAAAAAATCTATTAATTGGTAATATTGCATAATTGGTAACATTATGTATGGTATTATATTCTATAATATAATAATATAATTGATAATATTATTGTTCAAGTATAATAAAAATCCTATGTAATAATGTAATAATAAAAAAATAAAAATAAAATTAAAATAATAACAATAACAATAACAATAACAATAATAATAATAACAATAACAACAAATTTAATAATCCAAACAAAACTATATACAAAATAAATTTAAAATTAAAAAAAAAAAAAAAAAAAAAAAAAAAAAAAAAAAAAGGAAGAAGACAAAGGTGGCTTCCCTTTGTAAATGATGTGGGATCATTTTGATTCCACATTGAAAATGTTTGGAAAGATGAGCTCTTAAACTCCTCTATATAAGAGGGGCATTTACAAACATATAATTGCTTGCCCATCAATATGGGCAAGTATGAGAAGTCCAAAGACTTTTTTATTTTTATTTTTTTATTTTTTTTTATTTTAGTACTATTAACCTGACAAATTATGCTGTGGATATGTGTCCACCTTGAAATGTAGACACAGTTCAAAAATTGTTCATAATTATTAATATATAATTCAAAAAATTATGAACATAGTGTTGTGAACATAATTATGAACATATAGTTATGTAATCATGAATATAGAGATTCAATAATTGTGAATATGAAGTTAAAAATTATGCATATATATCTTTATAATTATGAACATATAGTTCAGTAACTATGAATTTAGAGTTCTGTAATTATAAATATAGAGTTCAATACGTACTTATGAATATGAAGTTCAAAAATTATGAATATATAGCTTTATAATAATGAACATATAGTTTAGTAATTATAAAAATAGAACTGTGTCCACCTTGCAAGGTGGACACGGTTCCACAACATAACTATTTGATTGACCCTGTAACATGTAAACTTCCTCAACCTATTGAAACCCAACGTGTCAAAAGGCTCTTATTTAAGAAACCTTATCTTAATGGCTTCTTATTTTAGTTTTTTTTTTTTAATTTTTTTTAAATTTATTAGGGGGTTTGAGAAAGATTAACCCAAAATGTATATGAGTTGTTTTAGTTTTTAGCAGTTTGGAGCAAATTGCTAAGTTATTAAATAATATTTTTGGTGTTTTGATTAAATATAAAATGTTAAACAGGCGAGTTTATTAAAATTTTGACGAATTTGCCAAATAATCAGATTACAACAACAACAACAACAATAATAATAATAATCAAAAAAAAAAAAACTATATACAAAATAAAATTAAAATTAACCAAAAAAAAAAAAAAGACAAAGGCGAGCCACCGGCACCCTTTGTAAATGATGTGGGATCATTTTGATCCCACATTTAAAATGTTTGAAAAGAGAGAGCTCATCTATATAAAAGGAGCAATGAGACTCTTATAAACATAATTGCTTGCCCATCAATGTGGTCAAGTATTGAGAAGTCAAAAGGTTCTTATTTAAGAAGCTTTAACTTTGTCTTCTTATTTTAGTTTTTATTTATTCATTATTAGTAGGGGTTGTGGAAGATTAACCCAAAATGTATGTGTTGTATTAGTTTTTAGCTGTTTGGAGCAAATTATTGAGTTATTATATAATATATTTTGATTTTGATATTTTGATGTTTTGATTAAAGTTAAAATGTTAAAATGACGAATTTATTATAATTTTGGCGAATTTATCAATAATCAAATTACAAATAATAATA